GCAGCCAAAATGAAGAGACAAGGAAACGTGTCCCAAATGAAAGAACAGAACAAAACTCCAGGAAAAGAACTAAACATAACAGAGACAAGCAATCTAACAGATGCAGAGTTCAAAACACTGTATAAGGATGTTCAACGAACTTAGTGATAACTTCAAGGAACTTAGAACATCAACAACATGAAAGAGGACCAGTCAGAAATGAAGGAGGCACTAAATGAAATAATAATTTACAGGGACTCAATAGTAGAATAAGTGAAGCCAAGAAGCAAACCATCAATTTGGAATATAAGGAAGCAAAAACACCCAATCAGAATAGCAAAAAGAAAAAAGAATCCAAAAAAAATAAGGATAGTGTAAGGGGCCTCTGGGACAACTTGAAGCATGCCCAACATTCACATCATGGGATTGCCTGAAGGAGGAGAGAGAGCAAGAAATTGAAAACCTATTTGAAAAAATGATAACAGAAAATTTCCCTAACTTGGTGAAGGAAACAGACATACAAGTCCAGGAAGCACAGAGTCCCAATTAAGATGAACCCAAATAGTCCTGCACCAAGACACATCATAATCAAAATGAAAGAGACTAAAGACAAAGAGAGAATCTTAAAAGCAGAAAGAGAAAAGCAGTTAGTTGTCTACCAGGGAGCTCCCATAAGACTGTCAGTTGGTTTCTCAAGAGAAACTTGGCAGGCAAGAAAGAAGTGGCAAGAAATATTTAAAGTGATGAAAAACAAGAAACTACAACCAAGATTACACAATCCTGCAAAGGTATCATTTAGAATCAATGGACATATAAAGAGTTTCCCAGACAAGAAAGAGCTAAAGGAGTTCATCACCATCAAACCAGTATTATATGAAATGTTGAAGTGTCTTTTTGAAGAAGATCAAAATATAAACAATAAAATGGCAATAATCACATATCTATTAACAACTGAATCTACAAACAAAATGAACAAGCAGAACAGAAACAGACTCATAGATACAGAGAACTTTTTGTTGGTCGGCAGATGGGAGGGGAGTTGTGGGGATGGGTGAAAAAGGCGAAGGGATTAAGAAGTATAAATTAATTGTTAGACTGACAAACCTCAAAGGGAAGGGAAATGGGGAGAGATAAACTAAAGAACTATATGCATATATGCATAACAATGGATGCAGACAATAGTGTGGGGAAGGCAGGATTGTGGTGGGAGTAGGGAGCAGTGGGTTGATAAGGGGAAAAGGGGGTGACATCTATAATACATTCAACAATAAAGATAAGTTTTTTTTAAAAAAAGAATAATGTGAACATTTCACAATCTAAGTCAAGTTTTGTGTTCTACACCTTAAATTTATTTAGTGCTATATGTTAATTATATTTTAATAATGAGAAAAAATAAAATAAAATGAACACTAAAATGAGTGCAGAAACTGAAATCATATTGTTTTCTGTGCCTGTGAGCACTGTTTACAACAGATGGGGATTAAACACTCAAATTCTAGATTTCTTCTGTCTTTAAAAAAATAATACTAAAGGGTCCAGACCATGTGGCTCAGTGGACTGAGCATCATCCCATGGACTGAGAGGTCTGGGTTCAATTCCCAGTCAGGGCACATGCCTGCGTTGCAGGCTTGATTCCCAGTAGGGGGTGTGCTGGAAGTAGCCGATCAATGTATCTCTCTCACATCAATTTTCTAGCTCTCTCTCCCTTCCTTTCTCTCAAAAAAAAAAAAAAAAAAAAAATCAATAAAAACATATTTAAATAATAATAACACTAAAGCAAAAATAGGAGAAATGACCATGACAATCAACCAAGGGACCCTTGCTACTTCCCCAGGGTACATCTGTCACCAAAGGCTGAAATCCTTGTCCCCTTTATTGTTCTTACATCAGCTAAGAGCATGTGTCTGTGTGTGTGTGCACATCTCTCAATAATTTTTAAAGGCTTTGTTTGTGCAGGGGTGAACTCCATGTTGGTTTCTAAATATATGATCCTTCTAAGTAATATCCAGAAACATAAGGAGTGATTACCTTTTGTTAATTATGGAACTTTTTTGAAATGATGGAACTATTTTTATAGGTAATACCTATTTTTGACCAGGTACATATTACATGCACATACATTATGTAATGTAATTTTCACAGCAATCCACTGAGCATACATTATTCTTCCAGTTTACAAATGAAGACACTGAGGTTCTGGGATGTTAAACAAATTACCAAGTTACTGCTACATATTGAATATTTGTGTCCCCCAATTTGATACCTTAATCCCCAGTGTGATGGTATAAAGAGGTGGGCCTTGGGAGGGAATTAGGTGATGAGGGAGTCCTCATGAATGAGATTAGTGCCCTTACAAGAACAGACACAAGAAAGATGATCTCTCTTGGCCATATAAGGACACAGCAAGAAGGCAGCCATCTGCAAGCCAGGAGGAGAGCCCTCACCAGGAACCAAATCAGCCAGCACCTTGATCTTGACCTCCCAACCTCCACAAATGTGAGAAATATGTGTCTTCCAAGCTGGATAAGACAGTTACACACACAGTAAGTATTGGAGCAAGGACTTGATACAAAGTCAGTACCCTTTCTACCACACCAGACTGCATCCCAGCAGCACCTTAGCTTGACCAACCTCAGTCTGGCCATGACAATCACAAGAATATCCTCATGTGTGTGTAGCTCCTAGAGGTGAAAAAGAACTTTCACGTCCATCACTTACTTTGGAGTGTGTTGTAAAAAACAGGATCCGGAATCTTTAGACCTCAAATGCTAGATCCTAATATCCACTGTACAAACCCATCATTGCATATTGTTTCTAACAGAAACAAACTGATGAAACAAACATTGAACTCAGTGTCCCTGAGGACGCAGGGACATTGACATTCTTTTATACCCTCACTGAACATGTACATAGCATAAAGTTTCTGGAGAATTATTTTGTAATAAAAGTTTTAAAAGTCCACAATCTTTGCCCGGCTGGTATTGCTCAGTGATTGAGCATCAACCCATGCACCAAGAGGTCACTGGTTCAATTCCTGGTCAGGGGGGGTATGCAGGAGGCAGCCAATCAATGTTCTCTCTCATCGATGTTTCTATCTCTCTTCCTCTCCCTTCCTCTCTCTCCAAAATCCATAAAGAAAAAAAATGTTTTAATGTTAAAAAAATAAATGAAAGTCCACAATCTCTGCTTCCAATACTATATTTTAAGAAAAGAGAGAGAAATGTACAGAAAGATTAATAAAAGCGATATTCATTACAAGATACTAAATAAGAGTAAAAAGTTGAGCCCTGGCCAGTTTGGCTCAGCGGTTGGAGCGTCGACCTGCGGTACAGAGAGACCCGGGTTCAGTTCCCGCTAAGGGCACATACCTCCGTTGCAGTTTGTCCCCGGCCCTGGTTGGTCGTGAGGGTGGCAGCCACTCGATGTGTCCCTTCACATCGATGTTTCTCTCTCTCTCCCTCCTGCTCTATCTGAACAAAAAATGGGAAAATGTCCTCGGGTGAGGATAAAAAAAAAAAAAAGAGTAAAAAGTTGAAAATAACCTAAAATCCATAAAATCATTAATTGATTAAATAGATCATCTATGCATATATGTGTGTGTATACACAATTTCTTTGGTGTCTTCAAATGTAGGAATTATGTCTTAGTCGTGTCTGTACCCCCATCTTCAGTTATAGTGCCTAACACAAAGTAATAGCTGAATAAGTGTTCATTAATTAAATAAATAAATCACTAACCTTCCAGTCCCCAAGTCAGATTATCACATTTATCCCTTGGCCCTTCTTGTATTAATTAGATCAAGAGAAATATCGTAGCAAGGGTGCATAGCACTACTTTGCTTTGCTTCCTCTTTTTCCAGGAGTGCGCTCAATCCCTGCATCCTGGAGATCATCACATCCAACCTCCTCTATTCACTCCTCCATATCACTCAGCAAAGACATGATGGCCGAGGAAAAAAAGTCCCATGTCATTGAGCTCTTAGGGAATCTGGACAAAGCCAGGAATGAAGCCATATGTCCATTCTCTTGACCACCTGTGCCATCTCATCCTCAGTGTAACTATGGGCATGTGGATCTGATCAAGGTTCTTGGTCAGAGTCATCTGTCCCCTGTGCACCAAACTCCACATAAAGTGGCAATTCAGAATCCCCATCAGGATTGCCATCCAGTCTAATCGATGTTCACAAAGGGCCAGGCCCTGTGAAAACAAAGGGGAATGCTGCTGCCTCTGAGCTCTGCCAACTATTGGCTGTGTGGAGGACAGGGTGATGGCAGCCTGCCCATCCTGGTGAGCTGATGTGAAAGGACCAAGAAAAGCATGGTCAGGCAAAGCCACCCCCCACCCCGCCTATAACACTATTGGAAATGCCCAAACACTCTGACTCATTGATTCTACTCCAAGAAATGTATTCTACAGAAACACTTATACACACACAAAAGTATATGCAAAAGTATATTGATCACAACAGTGTTTGTTTTAGCAAAAAAGGAATCACAAACAAGTTAAATGTAAAGTAATAGAAAACGACATAATATGAAATACTACCTAACTATAAAAAGACCATATAACCCTCATGTAGCACTCATATGACATGCATGCCAAGATCTGTTCTAAGTATGTTACATGTGTGAAATCATTTAGTCTTCCAATGAAAGAGGTTACTTTTATTAACCCCACTCTATAAGAGAAGGAACTAAAGCACAGAGCAGTTAGGTCAGGATCACTCAGCTAGTATGTGATGGATAAGGAAGATGATATGAGTCTACCACACTATTAACAACATAATCATATGATACCAAAATGTGAGCAGGATCCCAAGTCAGCTATGTGGCCAGTACAATGCATGACCACCAGCAAGAATTTTAATGTCCTGTGATAGAAAGATATAATGCAATGTATTGATGTACTATTAAGTGAAAAGAAGGAGAGATTGCAGAACAATCTACATATTCCCAATTTTACTTTTTGAAAATGTAGGCAAAAATAAGTGCATAAACACAAACATCTAAACATGCTCACCACAGCATGTTTCCAGGGCTGTGGCTAGTTGTAGCCATGGGGTTTCCAGCTGCTTACGAGGGCAACCTGGAGACACTTTGACAGCTCAGGTTAGCATAATACCTGCAGCTGCCACTCGTCTTTTCTGCAATATAATAAACAAACAAATAAATAAATAAAAATAAACATGCTCACCAAATGGTTAATAGTGGCTACCTCTGGGAACGAGACAGGAATGGGTGGTATGGAGTCTAGGAAAATTGTCACAATCTGTCTTAGACCCTTCTATTTATTTAAGTTTTATGAGCATGTATTCCTTTGGTTGAAAAGAGAAAATAAATAAGGAAAAAAGAATCACCCAGGGAAGGCCCTATGTGAGCAAGGCCAGCATAGGGGATCTGCTCCCCAATATAGGGACTTCACTTACAAAGAGGCAGAGTCCAAAAAGGTACAACTTTAACACATGAGCCCCAAGTAGAAATGCTGCTGGCCGTGCGTTCAAGCAGCCACGTGTTCAACTTCAGTGCTGCTCACCCAGCCGTTGCTCGGTGTGTAGGACAGTATGCTTCAGCGGGAAGAGCTCTGCGGTGGGCTCGAAGGCTGGGTTGGGATCCCAACTCTACCTCTCATAGCTATATAACCTTGGCTACTCAGCTCTTTGGGCCTCAGTTTCATGTTCTGTAAAATATAAATAATAACAACTACTGCACAATGTTGTTCTGACATTAACTGAGAAGAAGCGCTTATGTCGAGCTCAGTGCTCATTTCATAGGTATATGATTGATGCCAGTTAAAGGTGACTACATTGGTCACAGAACTAGAACCCAGTCTACTGACCCCTAATCCAATGTTCTTTCCATTAAACCCCATTGTCCTTTTTGCATAGGTCTGGGCTTGGATCAGAAGAGGCAAAATAAGACAAGGTCAGCCAGACCACATCCACATGGGGCCATGTTCAAAATGCCCTTGGACTTGTGCTCTTCAGACCTCCAACTTGGTTACCTTGAAGATTTTTCTTGAAAGAAACTATAGCAGAAACTGCTATTCCCAGGATGAAGAATACGCTTTAGAAACCTTGGTGATTAATAGTGTGGTACCTACCTTGGCAACTCATGACCAAGCTTTTTACAGTTGTCCTACTGTGCCATGTGGCTTCATTGCATAATATTGACCAAGTCCTTTAATCTTTCTGTCTCAATTTTCTCTTCTACAACAGAAGGATAAATAATCTCTGTCTCCTTTCTAACAAGGTTTTCTGAGAGGATCAAATGACAGGATGGAGATAGACATCTATGAAAGAGACTGCCAATTATTCACCACTCTCCATTCTCCCCTCTTTCCCTTGGCAGTGACACTCCAACTAAACACACACCACCCAGCCGGAGACTGCAGTGTCCAGCCTCCATAGCAGCTACATGTGGCCAGGCAACCTTTGCTTGCCAGCGGAATACAAAGAGAAATTATATCTGCAATCCTCAGGCCATGCCTTTAAAAAGGAGCTCTTTGCCCTAGTTTACCCTTTCCTTCGTCCTGCAAATTGGATTTGGCTTGTTGGTGATGAGTCATATTTGACCTTAGAGGATGGTGGATGAACAAAATAAAAGATGTCTTGGTCTTGTACAACCTCATGAAGCAGAGCTCCCTATCACCCCTGGGCCCCCTACCAGCTTATTTTTCTAAGGGAGAAAGAAATAATCCTTCTATTTTATTAAATCCACTGTTATTTTGTTCTCTAATACAGCAGCTGAATCAATATCTTAACTATTGTAGCATCCTTTGGATATACAAAGTGTCATGCCAAGATGTGTATTGTCCTTATATTAATTACATCTGCTATTTTGATTGGACAACATGCGTTGTCACATAGCAGCCACGATCTTATTCCCAGGACCACAACTCCTGCTCCTGCAGGTGCAGAGGCTGCACCGCCTCACCATCCGTTGTCTTACATTCACGTGTGAGGGTTGCTCCTAGCGCCCCTCTGGCACAGTTCCTTCTGTTTCTATATCAAGAATCCCTGGTAACGTTCTTTCTTAAAAAAACTAAACTTTCAGTTGAGCATTTGGAAACTTGGCACATACCAGGTCACAGCCCCTGTGATAACTAGCCTCACATGAGATGTCTTCCTCAACCTGACTCGGAGCAAAGAGACCACAGTTTACTTCTAAATAGCCTTCAACCAAGCCAGCTAAACATTGCAATTGCAAAGGTTGCTTGAGGCTGATATTTTTTGTTTATTTTTATATTTGTTATTAAATTTATTGGGGTGACATTGGTTAAGATTATATAGGTTTCAAGTGTACATTTCTATGATACATGATCTGTATATTGCATTGTGTATCCACCGTCTAAAGTCAAATTATCTTCTGCCATCAAATTTTTGGCCTCCTTTACCCTTTACTACCCTCTCACCCCCTTCCCTCTGGTAACCACCATACTGTTGTCTGTGTCTATGAGTTTCAGTTTTATATCCCACATATAAGTGAAATCGTATGGTTCTTAGCTTTTTCTGACTTATTTTACTTAGCATGATATTCCCAAAGTCTATCCATGGTGTCGCAAATGGCAGTAGTTCCTCTTTTCTTATGGCTGAGTAGTATTCCACTGTATATATGTACCGCATCTTCTTTATCCAATCATCTATCAAAGGATGATTGTTTCCATGTCTTGGCCACCATGAATAATGCCACATGTATCTTTGTGAATAAATGTTTTTAAATTTTGAGGGGGCAGGGGTGGGGTGGAGGGAGTCAGTATTGAAGAGGGGACATCTGTAATACTTTTAACAATAAAAATAATTTTTTTTAAATGGTTTCAAATTTTTCAGGTAGATACCCTGAAGAGGGATTGTTGGATCATATGGTAAGCCTATTCTTAATTTCTTGAGGAACCTCCATACTGTTTTCCATAGTGGCTGTACCAGTTTACATTCCCACCAGTAGTGAACAAGGGTTCCTTATTCTCCACAACCTCCCCAAAACTTGTTATTACCTGTATTATTATAAATAGCCATCCTAACAGGTGTGCCATTGAAGTTTTGATTTGTATTTCCCTAATAGCTAGTGAAGTTAAGTATCTTTCCATTTATCTATTGGCCACTTGTATGTCTTCTTGGGAGAAGTATCTGTTCAGGTCCTCTGCGCATTCTTTAATTGGAGTGTTTATTTGGTGTTGAGTTGTATGAGTTCTTTATATATTTTGGATATTAACCCCTTGTCAGAGCTGTTTGCAAATTCCTTCTCCCATTCAGTTGGTCACCTTTTTGTTTTGTTGGTGGTTTCTTTTGCTGTGCAGAAGCTTTTTAGTTTGATATAGTCCCATTTATTTATTTTTGCTTTTACATCCCTTGCCTTTGGGGTCAAATTCATAAAATGTTCTCTAAGACCAAGGTCCATAAGTTTAGCGCCTGTTTTCTTCTATGCAATTTATTGTTTCAGATCTTATATCTAGGTCTTTGATCCATTTTGAATTACTTTTTGTACATGGGGAAAAACTGTAGTTTAGTTTCATTCTTTTGCACGTGGCTTTCCAATTTTCCCAGCACCATTCATTGAGGAGACTTTCCTTTCTCCATTTGCTTTTGTTTCTTAATGCACACACACAGAGATGAATTTGCCATGTCTGCTTTGGGGGGAAAGTGCATGGAGAAACAACTAAGAGGCATGAGTATCGAGGATGTTTACTTCTCCCGTCTCATTTCTCCTCAGACCATCTTGCACTCTATGACCAGCAATCCTGAAAGACATGTAGTTTCCAAATTCACATGCTCTCCCACAGCTTAGGACTTGTACCCTTCACCATCCCCGTCCATCCCTCCGTCTCTCAGTTTGAACACCCACCCTCCCACAAGCCTTTTCTGACCCTCTAACACTGGTCAAGCAGCATGCATCACTCTGACTGCTCTGTATTAGAATCACCTCTCTACTTGTCAGTAGCCCCACTTGAACTATAAGCATCTACACCTCTGTACATCTGACTTTGAGTGTGGGGTCTGGCACAAAGTACACACTCACTAAATATTGGCTGAATGAATGAAGGCATCATGTCCTTTACCAAGGCCTTGGCACTTCTTGCTCCACACGGAGAAAGAGGCAGCAGGCCTTGCTAAATAAGGTGGTCCACTGATGGGACCACACTACCTCCGGCAATGTCCACACACAATGCATTTTAGAAACCCGTGGAAGTCTTGTTCCGAGCCTGGCAGGCAGCCTGAAAAACAAAACTTGGCCCTACTGGATGTGATGCTCATGGTCAGAAAATCTTGTCCACCGGGGCTGAGGGATCCTGTATCCACACATGTCTGTTCGAATACTTAAAAATGAATTTCTCCCTTTAGAGCAAAGTGCACCCCCCCCTACTACCTCAGCAGCAGGGGAACAATAAGGTAGTGGCCCTGCTCAAGATTTACTCAGACCTGTTTAGAGTTACGCTTAGTTCTTGCTGACTACATTGCAACTGGTTAGGCATTTTTAACAAGAACTGTTTCCGTGGGTGGTGGGTTTGCAAATGTGCTACTGTAATGGCCATGTGTATTAGCTCTGTTTTCAAGGTCCCAGGTTATGTCTCCACCTAGTCTGATGTTTATTTAGTGCTCATTATCAGAAGGAGCAATAAGCCCCTTAGCTTTCCACAGACAGCTCTCTAACCATGAGGCCCATCAGCCAGCACGCGGCCCTGGAGCTCCTGCTGAGCAGAGAAGAATCCCAGGTGTGACCCCTCGGTCCCGGTCCCGCAGGAGTTCCTGAAATTGGAGGTTGGTGGCAGGGCAAACATATCCAAAACAGCTCTCGTGCGAAATCTGTTCTGCAAGTTAGAGGCAGGCCCTGCTGAGGCAGGAGGAGGGCTCCGAGCCCATGGCCTGACGGGACTTAACACGCAGACATCGCCCCCGCGGCCCCACGCGACCCACACCCACTCACTCATCCACCTACACGCCGCCTCCTCCACCCTGAGCAGATCCGCGGAGGATGATGCACACCCAGGACAGCAGTATTTTGCCTGTGAGTAACTGACCCCAGCTGCAGGCACATTGTGTCACGGCCTCTGTGATGCTCCTGATGCCCCTGGCCCACTGTCGATGAGCCCCCGGTGGGCGAGGGGTGGCAGGGATCCCGCTCTCTCAGCTCTGGTATATAAGGACCAGAAGCTCACTG